TTTTTTTGCCACATATCATATATAGACTTAGTTTTTACCTTGCAAAGAAATACTCAAATTGTTTTGATTTGACATATCACACAGAAATGCTGCATTCCTATAGAAATCTTCTTTTACTAATTCACATTGCTGATTTGTTCTTCATAAAATTTATCTGTTCTTGTAGAGATAAAATTTTGGCTAACTTCTGTCCCTGTGATAGCCAATGCACTTTAGAGTGATGTGGCAAATCCACACTGAATACCTCAGTGTGCAACTTTAGCATATTACGAAACTGACAGTGCATCTGCACAAGTATAATTAACAATACTTATAACTTGTTGCAAAGTGTCATCTAAAATAGTAGCTTTAGTACAGAGATTTTACTGATGCAAGATACAGTGAAAAGAAATGAGGGCATCTGGATCTGTTAATACTTCTTTAATCTGTGCAACAAGCCCTAGTGTTTTCCTGTCGTGGAAGGTACACCAGTCTGTATGTACACTCACTAGATTTACCAAATTCAGTCCAGCTTCACAACATTTTTCTTGAAAGTTGTTGAATGTATCTGTTCCCTGTGTTCTATTTGCAAGAGTGCCCAAAGCGAGTAACGCTTTGTAGCAAAGAAAAGCTTCTGTTATGACCTGAATAAAGTATAAAACCTGTGCTGAGTCAGTGGTATCAGTTGATTCATCTAAAGCAATTGAATAATATATTGAACTATTGCATGAATTTGTTTTGTTAAGTTGAAGGCTACTTCATGCTGCTGCTGCTAAGTTAATGGTTCTCCTTGAAAGAGGCAGTTGTTTGTACTTTGAAACTTTATTGGTTATCCTACAACTTTGACAATGCATTCTTTCACCAATTTCTACATCACTGAATGGCTTCCGTTTTTTTCCCCTGGGTATATAAGCTACTTTGTAAATTGTTTCAGTGGTATTATTTCCAGGTCTTATTGCTGCTTGATGGAATTGTCTTTGCTTTTCATCTTTTAATTTCTGCAATACAACCTTTTTGCGCCTCTCTTTCTCATTTAAAATATTTGTGATCCTTATGAGTATTATAATGCTGAATATTGAATTTCTTTAATGTTGATGTTGCAGTATCATAAAGCAAGCAAATCATCTTATTTTTAACAGAAGCAAGATAATATTGCAGTTCCCGATCCTCATTAAACAATCTGTGTTCTTCCTTTAGCGTCCTCTTAGTCTTCCTTGATATGATGGGTTGTTAAGTAGACAAAATTTAAAAATACTGTCAAACTATGCAACCATTCACAAATTACACTTCAAACAGAAACAGTGCACTGTTGTCACAAGCTGATACCAGACTGGCTTACTAGACCTGATAAACTCTCACCAACCAGCCTTGTTGTGCGGTAGTGGTGTCAGTCAGATGGGGGAAGGTAGAACTAAATTATGTGCGTAGCAGTCGCCACTTTAGCCCTTCTGGTTTATTAATGATCTAATTGTTCTGGAAGTCTGAGAGGATTATTTCATTGAAACTTATTTTATTCTTTGGTATTTTATGTA